CCCCCCCCAAGATGGAAAGAGAAGATGCCAACAGCAAATAGGCAAAGAGCTAAAGAAATCAGCCTTTCAAATGAGAAGCTGGGCACAGGCTGCTGGTGAAATCTAGTTTTATTGACACGTTTGGTCTGAGTAACTCATCTCCACTTCTTGATAGCCAGGTAGGACACCAACAAGACTCCAACAGCTAAGGTCCCAGAGAGGCCTGCCACCCACAGAGCGTGGGAGCCCGCAGGGGGCCCTGGAGGATGAAAAGGGGTTAGCGTGGGCACCGCGTGCTGATGAAGACCAGTCTTCAACAAGCTAGTGGTCTTTTCTGAGGGCCACACCGATTATGTAAGCAGGGAGAGGGACAGGGGGAGAGGAAGCAGCTTCTGTCTGACTAATGGTTCAGGCAGGTAGTTAAGTCTTCTACTCACCTGAGTACTTAGGAAGCTTTTCTGAAGGCTCCTCCGGGGCCTGGAGGAGGACCATGGGGCCCCTGATAGAAACGTCGGCAGTGCTGCTCCCGGAGGGGACGCCGGGGCTCCTCCTTCCTGCGAGAGAGGACAGCGTTTTGCACATGGGGCTGTGGGGTGTCAGGAAGCAAGTCTAATACAAGGCGGGGTTCCTCAAAACACACAGCTTTGCTCCATGCCTTGAGAACTCAATGTGGGAAACCCCGTATTCGTGTGTTAATACAAATTTGAGCAAGGTAGACTTTATCCAGCTCCATCACCTGTTTCACCAGGATTTGGGATACAGATCATGATGGACTGCCTCAGAACTGCCATTCTTTCTTAAACAGTTAGACAAGAACATGCTAATACCAAGGCCCTCTCCTTGATGCAAAGGTAACTGATAAAGGCCTTGGAAAAATTAATCCAAGTTTTAGTTTTCTAGAAGTATATAGATTATATATCATTGGAGTTAGACATTCAGTACTCAATGTAGAGGTGTTTTGCTGTTTTGTTTTTTGCCAACAGGGACTTAAAGCTTCAGGGGTCATGAATCCAGTTAATTCAGGGACTAGATATAAATGTTAGTAGCACACGTGCACACACACACACACACACACACAGAGGAGGGGCTTTGGGCCTCACCAGCATGAGTGCATACTCTAAGCCTTCAATCATGCCCACTTGTCGATCTTCAAACCACATAGCCAGACCTGCCTTCAAGCAGGTGTAGAAGTCTACGTTTGTGAGCGATGCACATAGAAGAGTGTGTGTGTTCCTGTGTGTATGTGTGTGTGTTGATTGGGCCATATGTAGGCCATGAGACAGTTTGATTCCCGGCTCAATGAGAACTCATTGGAAAAGCTAGGGCTGAGAGTTACTTGAGGACTTTTAGCTTCTATTTAAGAGGCCTGGGGCTCTGAAATGTGAGGTCTTTCTGTTCTGTGTCATAAAGCCCTTGGAGCGGCCTAATAGGTTGAATCTCCATTTGATTCATTGGCACAGGGTGGAAGGTTACCCTGAGACTGCAGTGTAGACAGCTTGGATACTCACGCCTAGCCACAGGACAGGTGACACAGGACAGTGTCCCCGCAGGCTGGCAGAGGGACACACTGCAGTGCAAGTACACCTGCAAGCCAAGAGAGTGGGAGCACGCTGAGGCACCTCATCGTGAGAGGCTGGACCGCTCCATCCCCAGGACAAGTCCAGGCGAGTCAGAAGGTCCCGACAGCCCAGGCCGTCATAGCAGCACTAGAGAACGCAGCCTAGTTCACAGACGTCACACACGCCGTCAGCACCAAGGATTGTTCTGAGGCAGTACTGGCAGCCAGCCTCAAAGGCTGCCTTGGCTGAGGACTGGCAGGATGTGGAAAGACTGAGTTGGGGGGGGGGTGTCAGAGCCCTGCTGAGGGCCATGGGAGGAGGCATCATACCGGTCCCCTGAGCACTAGTCGGGCCTCCGAGTCCACAAAGCTGAAGGTGAAGATGCTGAAGCGCTGGGAGTGGGAGGGGAACTCCACACTTCTGGCCTCTGGGACAGGAATCAGGTGGGTCCAGTAGTTGTCTCCAGTGTAGGGGCATCTAAGCCAAGATATCCACAGTCAAGGTGGGCTTCCGTGAGGGACTCTACCAAGGCACTTAAAGGAACCACTCACCCCTTCACCAGCAGGGGCCACTGCGGCTGATGCAGAGGGTCTGGGCTGGGTGTGGCCCAACAGTGATGGAGCAGCAGCCTGAGGTTGGGGTCGGTTCTGTGACGGACGGAGACCTCCACATAAATGGGGTCCCGGAGTAACTTCACCACTGGGTAGTCACCAGCACTGTAGTAGGAGCTGTAGTTTTCGTCTGCAAGAGGCCGAAGTGAGTCAAAGCAGTAAAGACAGAGCCAGTAGCTGTAGGCTGCTTGAGACAGACCATCTCCCACATCAACTCCTCTAGCAAGTGTCTTGTGACCAAGGCAGGGTCTTCATGCTCACAAGGTGACAGGACTCAGACTGTAGTCCAGATGCTCCAGCCAAAAGGTTCTTACCTCTGGCAATCTGAAGTTCCAGAGTGAGGGGTCCAGGCTGGGTCTCAGGCTCGGGCAGTGGGGGACGGACAACCTGGACATTGACCGGGAGGGCGTTGCTACTTATGGTGTAGGTGCAGTGGACTCGGAGCCTGCGGACAGACAAGGGTCAGCCAGCTCAATGGGCCGGCTGTGCCACCTTTCATTGACTGCTCAAGGAATCACTAAGTGCCAGGTGTTGGACAAGTTTGTAAACATGGGCATGGTTCCTGGCCTTGTGGGAGCTCTATTTTTGTTGGGGAGACCAATATTAAAGGGATCAATATTCAGGAGTGGACAGTAAGAAACACAAACAGACAGGGCCTGTGAAAGAAAGGCGCCTTCTATAGAAAGGGAGTCAGGGAAGATCGTACAAGGATTTGCTATGAAGGAAGGAGGAACAGTCACTGAGGTGCAGGAAGGAGGACAGTGGACAGAACAGTTATGGAGGCGAGAAGGTCTGAGGTCCTTCAGAGACTACAGAAGGGCATTCGGGCTGGAGAGGAGGGGTAGAGACTGAGACTGTTTAGGTCTGGCTGGAGAAGTCCCAAAGGCTACACTACGACAGAGTTAAAGCCCTCACTGTCATCCCACAGCTTCCAGGACACTGAGCTGAGATTTTAAAGGGATCCTTTTGGCCACAGCATGCACGACGGATGCAGAGGGGAAAGGTCAAAAGGAGAACCAGGCGATGTGTTAAACGAAATGCAAGCCCAGGCGAGTCTGAGACTTAGACCATCCGGTCGGTGGCATCAGTGCAGGCAGACCTACGCAACAGTCAGCGAGACCGGACGACCAAGGCAGACAGGCTCTCGCTGCGAGGACTCGTCCTGTGGATTCGGCGCTTACCTCTGGACCCCTGCTCCATGCAAGAGGGCTCCACTCTAGCCGAGCAGGTCAGGTTAGCGAGGACTTTTACCTGAAGGTACTTTCGCGGGTGATGGAACCTCGGCTCCAGGTTCTCACCTCCCTGGCTGCCTCTAGCTCGTTTTCGTACACTGCCTGGTCTCCAGCGATCTGGGGGAGCAGGTGAGAAAACTTGTCACTCCTGCGGCCGGAGCCACAGCCCCCTGCCCTGCTCTGGTCTAGCCCTCGACACTGCCCTGCTGTTGGCTGCTGCATCTTCTCCATGAGCAGAAGCAAGGGACGGAGCCACTCCACCTTACTTGAGGACAGAGGGAAGGAAGGAGCTTAGGTCCTCAGATGAGGTGACCAGGGGTGCTGCCACCGTCTCTGGTCAGGCCCCTGCTCGCTCCCGGGCAGGGCGGCCAGAGGAGCCTGTTCTTGCCCTCTACCTGGCGAGTGCCAGCGCCCGCGGAGCACAGCTGCGAGGGTCGGGGCCGCTGGCTCGGGGGTTGTTTCAGAGCCCCTGGGATGAGCTCTCCTGTCCGGGAGACCATCCCCTGCACAAGCAGGGTCAGGTAGAGCCTTCGTGGCTTGTGTTCCAGCTCCCCCCAGCCATGAGGACATTCCTGCCTCACCTCTGGAGCTAGGAGCACAGCTAAGGGCCCGCGGTCTCACCCATCTGGTAGTACCACAGGCTGTGAATGGAAACCGGAACAGGGCAAAGGCTTGTGTTGTCATCACAGGGTCGCATTCGCTGTCGTTGCTGAAGGCCATGTGCACAGAGTTCAAGAGCAGTGGGGGCGAGGTCACATTGAGGGCCACAGCAATGGAGAAGTGGCCGTCCTGGGTACAGTGTGAGGTCACTGAAACACCAGAGGGCTGTGCTGAAGGTGGGTGTCTCCCCTGCTGAGCCCTGGATGGAAGCCTAGTTAGTTCCTTTTGACCACTCCCCCTGAGAAGGTGGCAATCCCAGCTGTGACCTTGGTGCCAGTCCAGCTGCCCAGAGCTTAGTCAGGCTCAGGGTCAGTGCCTGGGTGTGAAACTTGCCTCCATCACTTAGTGTGTGACCTCTGACAAAGTGTAACCTCTGGCTGCAGCTCCCCCTGAAGTGGGGCAGTGCCTGTGTTATGTTGCTAATCAGTTATTTTCAGAGCTTAGGGAAGTGTGGCCTGTGCTCACTGGTGAGGGTCACGTGAATTACAAAGCCTCAGTAGGATTGGGGTATAGAGAAAGTGTTTGAAAGGAGGTCCTCTAGTCAACCCAACCATCAGCCACTGGAGCAGGAGGGGCTGTTCCTGGGTCACGGGTGGTGTCTGGCGCCTAGACGTAGCTTCCAGAGACCGGTAGTGTTGTGTCTGTATGTTCGGTTCCTAGGAGCGCGGACAATAGGAGGCTGTGGGAGCTCCATGTCAGGGTCAGGGGCTCCGGGTGCACTGGGCAGGCCCTTGGGCATGTCCAGCATCTGCCTTCGGG